AAAGAATGATAATGTGCATTTGATCAGATATAACTGGAATACAAAGTTATGAGATAAATTATGTGAATGCTTGGCAAAAGAGGATGTGTCTTTAATCTAGATTTAAACAGAGAGAGTGTGTCTGAACCCCGAACATTATCAGGAAGGCTATTCCAGAGTTTAGGAGCCAAATGCAAAAAAGCTCTACCTCTGTTAGTTAGGGTTGGGCCGATAGACGATGCCATCGTCCATTGCCGATGGCTGACAGACATCACGATGTTGAGCCGGCATCGTGATCCCCCCCCCCACCAGTACTTTCAGTACTTTCTCTCGCAGTTATATCGTTGGGTAATTATACTGTATATAAATTGCAGGCATCAGGGAGCCGCTACTAATATGCAGGGCATTGAAACCGCTTTCGAATGCGCGCTCTCATTTTACTTTCACTTTCAAGATTCGCGATCACACGGACTCTATACTACGGACCAGTACTGCCGCTACCACACATTTTACAAGATTAGATATTTGTCAGTGGACAATGGCGAATGATTTGCAGATACTGAACACCAATCAGTCATCTCTCCTTACTCTGTGTATGTGGTAAGTGAACTTTCATGTACTATAATGTAACAGTCTACCGCTAGCAAGCGGCTAACCATGACCCTTTAGTGGCTCCATAGAACACGTTATTTGTTTTCCGTGCCTTTCTGCATAGGGATTCACGCTTCGGGCACACCCCCTAACAACCCCCCGCCCCCGATGTCATCGTCCATCACGATGTTTCACTGTAGACATCGTCCGATGCCAATTTGGTAGACATCGACCGATGCCAATTTGGTAGACATCGCCCAACCCTACTGTTAGTGGACTTTGCTGTCCTAGTTGCAAAAGTCCAGAGTTTTGTGACCTTAGTGAGCGTGATGGATTGTAGCATGATAGAAGAAAAGTTAGTTATGCGGGAGCTAAACCATTTAGGGCCTTATAAGTAGTAATATTTTGTAACTGATATGGGACTTAAAGGAGACATATTATGCCCCTTTTTACAATATGTAATATAAGTCTCTGGTGTCCCCAGAATGTGTCTGTGAAGTTTCAGCTCAAAATACTCCACAGATAATTTATTATATAATTTTTAAAATGCCTATTTTGAGTGGAAGCAGAAACACGCTGTTTTTTCGGGCCTGTCTCTTTAAATGCAAATGAGCTGCTGCTCCCCGCCCCCTTTTCCAGAATAGAGCTGCTATTACAGCTGGTACCTGCTAAAAATATCTGTTTTGGTTCTGATTATCATGTTTATCGCGCTGAAATTATGCGTTTTAAATCATATTAGTTTAAACTTCTGATATATGGTTTTCTGAGAGCACACATCCGAAGCACACGTACAGAAAGCGGCTGTCAGTACTAAACTAAGTTCTCATTCACACACAAGTTTGTTAAAAACACACACGAGTTACAAAAAACAGTCGGTTATGTCTGAGGTAAACAGCTGGGAAATAAATCGCATGTTTTTTAGGGCTGGGCAAAAAAACATCGATTTTTCGATATATCGTTTTTTAAAATGTGGTCGATTCTCAAAGGCCATGACAAAGATACTGTGGACAAGAACAAAGCTATATGCCAAACAGTTGATGGGCCCGATCTTTTTTTTTTTAATAAAAATAAAAAATATTATTTGTGACTCTTAATTTCCTATTAATTAACCATTTGTAATCTTATGTTCACTGTTCATTTTTTATAAATATAGTATTTGTAAAGCGAAATACTTTTTGTATGCAAAGAAAACAAAAATAACGACTTATTCAACAATTCGTCTCCTCCTACTGTTCTACTTGTCTGTGTCAGCCGCACCGTGTCCGGCTGACACAGACAAGTAGAACCGTATACACAGTTTCCGTTCAGTGGATACTCTCCAAAATGGCACTACGGTGACGCAGAGGAGACGAATTGTTGAATAAAGTCGTTATTTTTGTTTTCTTTGCGTACAAAAAGTATTCTCGTAGCTTCGTAATATTATGGTTGAACCGCTGATGTCACATGGATTATTTTACCAATCTCCTTGCTACGTTTCTGAATTGTGTTCCGAAGACGAACGAAGCTTTTTCGGGTTTGGAACGACGTGGGGGAAAGTAATTAAAGACAACATTTTCATTTTGGGGTGGAGTAACCCTTTAATAGGTAACCATTGTAGAGATTGTAAAATTGGGGTTATATGATCATATTTTCTTGACCTGGTAAAGACTCTGGTATGTTTCGTAGTTTGGCAGTGTTTCTAATATGGAAGAATGCTGTTTTTGTAACGTAAAATATGATTTTCAAAATACAAGTTGCTGTCTAATATAACACCAACATTTTTGACTGTAGAGGAAATAACACATCCGTATAGATGCAAATTGTAATCTAAGAGATTCTGTGTACTGTTTTTCGGTCCAGGTAGTAATATCTCTGTCTTTTCTGAATTTAATAGGAGAAAAGTATTTGTCATCCAATCTTTTACATTTTTAACACGCTCCGTTAGCTTAGATAATTTAGAAGTTTCATCTGGTCTTGTTGAAATATATAGTTGAATATCATCCGCATAACAATGGAAACTAATCCCGTATTTTCTAATAATATTACCAAGGGGCAACATGTATATTGAAAATAGCAGAGGGCTCAAGACAGATCCTTGCAGCACTCCATACTATACTGGCGTAAATTGAGATGATTCCCCGTTTAAATAAACAAAGTGATAACAGTCGGACAGGTAGGATCTTTAACCATCTTAAAGCCTGCCCTTGAATACCCATATAGTTTTGTAATTGATCTTTGAGTATGTCATGATCTATAGCAGGGGTGGCGAACTCCGGTCCTGCATAGCTCAGCTCCAACCCTAATAAAAACTCACCTGCCTGTAGCTTCCTAGTAACCCTTCAGACCTTGATTAGCTTGTTCAGGTGTGTTTGATTAGGGTTGAAGCAAAACTCTGC